CGGTTTTCAATATTATGCCTAAACTACTGCATGGAATTTTCCATAACCAATGATTAAGATGGCGTTTACAAAAAGTGCAAAAGTTTCCTTGCGATTTCCTCAATAACTTTGTTTCGAGGTAAAAAAATAAACTTTTGTTAACGACCGATGGTTGCTGAGGGTTTAAGCTTGTGAATGAAGTTAAATTTGATAACAAATTATTATCAGTGTGTGATAAAAATGAAAGATATATATTTTATATGGGAGTTTTTTAACAACTTATTTCCTAAATAACGGCGAAAGTGCAGGAATTAGCTAAATAATTTTTGTTTCATGCAAATGTCAGAACATTATATATTTGCATGAATGTTATTTCAACCAAAAATTTGTACCCAGAGGGCAGTTATTGTGGAAACAAATTTCCAATTTTTCAATGTAAACGCCAAAAAAGGAAAGAAAAGAAATATTGTTTTCAAAATTTCGAAAGTCAAAAATCGAAATTCTTCTTCTCTTTGAATAAACATAAAATACGCGTATATTAATGTGACTAATACCGAAAATGAATCAAAAACAGTAACAGAGTTGAATAATGTATAAGGAAAGCAATAGATGAAACTAGTTCTGAGAAAAAAAGAAAGAAGAAAACAACAGGCAGTCAACAGAGGTAAAACGTGCAACGGTAACCCGCTAGGTACTTTAAATTTTTCGAATTTCATCTACGCGTAAAACTGCATAGGTACCGCTTCATAGGGAAAGTAACCGCAAGTACGGGTACAAGACGCTAAAAATGTGTGGGCTACGCGATAGTGGAGACGAGGCGCGATGGTTTCGGTTTTTCGAACTAGCTACAGGTAAGATAAAAATAGAAGTTTGGGATTAGTTTAAAACGCTACGGAAGGTATCGAAGAGCTGCGGGCGGGCGCGATCCTGCCTGCTACGGTGGGTTCTTCTCAGAGTTTCTGCTCGGCAACATAAGTAGCGAGGTAAAAGTAGAAAGGGGGCGCAATAGCGTATGGGTCGTCTGCTAGAAGTGCGGTTATGAACATAGCGAAATTATTCAAAAGTGAGGGTACAGACATTTCTACGAGATAGTTGAATTGCGGAAGAATCAAAGTAAATCCGATTATAAAAACTTAAAAAGTTAGTGCAATCGCGGTGAATGGATTGTAAAGACGTTTAAGAAAGTTTGCCACGAACTTGGGATAGTTCGCATCCAATCGGAATAATAATTATCATTTAATTTAAAATAAATAAACAAATTATAGGAACTAAATCCGGGGAGTGGACGAACGTAGCGGCAGTCGGCGGAACGAACAAACGGACGGACGAACGGACCCGAGCGCTTCCCATAAAATGGCCTCGCACCTGGTCGAGGTCGGAGGTAGCAGCGGTCTAGGGAGTCGGTCTCGGAAGCGTCGGGTACACTTAACCGGAGTGAACTCCGGGAATCGGATGGGTTCAGGAAATGGCGGTGGTCACTTCGGAAAAATTAAGACAAAATTACCTACGGTAAACCCCAAGCAAGAATGAAAGCAACAAAACACAAATCGACGGAAAAGTAAATGCAGGAAATGCAATATTCCTCACTTATAATGAGTAAAACGGAATATAACAAAACAAGTACAAATTGTGCACAACCCTTGTGCAGGTAAAGCGCACAACACACACCCCTACTTAATTTCTTCCATAAATAAGAAAGTTGGCACTGCACACCCTACACAAAACCAAATTTGGAAAATGGCTACATTTGCTTTTATTCCAAGTGGCTATGTATCAAATTTCATTCAAATCCTTACCTAAATAAGAAAGTTGGCACTGCGCATGCGCAATACGAAATTTCGAAACTGGTGTTAAATTTTCTTTTATTCCAAGTGACTATGTATCAAATTTTATTTAAATGCCCAATGGTTATATTTCTTCCAAACGTCCCATTTTTTTTTAATTCTTAAAAAATGCGCTAAAAACACTTACCTTGCAATTAACGGAGCAGTACAAAAAAAATTCGCTGAACGCTAATTCTAATTAATATGGTGCGGTAACATAATTCAAAAGTAAACATGAAACGGTACGGATGCAAAGAAACGTAACTTTCGAAAGTGCAAAAGCAAAAAATCCTCCCTAACAACGGCTTTACCTCATATAAAACTCGGCTCTTGTAGGGAGGGATAACGTAGGAAATTCCAAATCTGTCGGCATGTCGCGTCGTTGCGATAACTCTCAAAAATTAAAACTTCAACGGAAAAATATGGGATTATGCTCATAATTTTTCTGAATTAAGAGAGGTTTATTTGGCACTAAGCACGCCCCAATCGAATGAAATATATTTAGCTACTGTTATTTTCACTCACTTAATTGGCCGTATCCAAATTTCCAGAATCCGTATTCCAGTTAAGTTTAAAAATTATTAAGTTTTAAATCTTCTACAGCAACGATTGCAAAACGGATAAATTTACTAAGAAACTTCCGTGCGTTTTTGATGTAAGACAAACAATTAAACAAAATGAAAACACACGAAGCTCACTCCTCGTCTCATAAAGCAAATAAGTAAATTTCAAAAACTACGGTTTCTTAGTAACTAAGCGCCCAACTGAAAACGGCTCAAGATACCGGATGTTCAGCAAAGCTAGTCGACTCCACAAATATACGGTGTGGTTATAACTTCGGGTATGATCTTCAAGGCGGAAAACGAATGGTACGTTACAACTTAATTGTTACCCGGCTGTGCCGACTTGAAGGAAGTTTGATGTGCGAGATTCATAGTAGGGGAGCTAACACGAAATCCACTGAACGAGAATGATCAAAATTTTAACCGATGGTGTTCCATTTTGCCCTATCAGAGTATGCTAAAATCGATCGTCTGCCGCCTCAGGTCATATGACTTAAGGCGCTGCGGGTACTTCTTGCGGTAGCAATTCTGAAAAGTTGTTTTTCGAGAAAATAAGTTATACACCAAATGAAAACGTTGATAATAGCTCTTAAAAAAATGTTTAAAAAAATCGCGCACATTTGATAACTCCGTAAAAAAACAATTCTTAGTCGGTTTTTCACGAACTTTCTACGGATATAACTAGGTTACGGTGGGACGAATGAAGCTGATTTTTTTTACAGACTCATGATAGGTACTACTAATGACTTAACGGTGTTTCGTTTTTAAATTTTGTCTCTAATTACAAGATTATCTTATTAGATTAACATTATAAGATATCTTATAATTAGAGAAAAAATTTAAAAAAGAAACACTCTCATAGTCATTGGCTGTACCTATCATTAGTCTGTAAAAAAAATCAGCTTCATTCTTCCAACCGTAACCTAGTTATATCCGTACAAAGTTCGTGAAAAACCGACTAAGAATTGTTTTTTTACGGAGTTATCAAATGCGCGGGATTTTTTTAAATATTTTTTTAAGAGCTATTATCAACGTTTTCATTTGGTATATAACTTATTTTTTCGAAAAACAACCTTTCAGAATTGGTACCACAAGAAGTACCTGCAGCGCCTTAAGTCGTATGACCTGAGGCGGCAGACGATCGATTTTAGCATACTCTGATAGGGCAAAATGGAACACCATCGGTTAAAATTTTGATCATTCTCGTTCAGTGGATTTCGTGCTAGCTCCCCTACTATCAAGCGTACTGAAACTGACACAAAAACACACGCTGACAGATGCACTTGTGCTTTGATGACCAAATCTGGTTTGTTGCGTTTGAAAACCAAATTTGGTGGGTGTCAGCGAACTTTTACTACTTCACTCGACGATATATTAATTTAAATCTTTTAGTAAGATTGGTTATTTTCTTCCGCACACAGTACTGACAAATTAGGATTTCACATATACAGACTGACTGCCCGTAAAGAAAAATCCACGTCGCAACGGAAAAATCAAAGAAAAAACCTCGTCTTCTCATTATCTCTAGTATTTAAGGAAGCACCACTTCCACCATAAAGTAAATTCTTTTTTTATGAATTTTCAAATAAACCGCCAATCACTACAGAACGCGCCAAAATTTCCCCACTTTCGCCGACATAAAACGCGCAATTCTTCGTAACACCTGCATCTCCTCGTATTAGCGAAAGAATACGTGCCTTAAATTTTGCCTAACATTAACGGTCGATTCTCACTTGTGCTGCACCCAGCTCGGCGACGCGACGCGATGCCGTGCTGCAAAGTTCCTCGTCGGAGCAAGTGAGAATCGACCTTAAAACTCTTTATCGAAACGATCAGATGTAACCTTGACAGATGTGTATTATTTCTAACACCTTATATAATTTGAATGCATAGCGGTAAAATTTAAACAAGAATTACGCATTTACTAACAGTTCTAAAAGGAAAAGAAAATACAGAAATACAAATTCAAATGAAACGAACCAACTTTGCGCTTATTTCGTAAGTAATCCCCCAGGTTAACTTAATAAATTGAAATTATCCCACATATAGGATGGCGCAACCTTATTGAAGGTGCTGACACCAAAATACGTGGCGTAGTTTACACAACAATACCTACTGATCTATTGTGGTTTGGCAATCTAGCCAGATTTATTTCTTTTTTAAAATTACAGATAAAAATTGCTGCATGTTCATGGGGGGGGGGGGGGCAAAATTAAAATGTTGCCGGTACTCACAAAGCTCATACTCAAATTAGCTTTACGTAAATGCAAAAAAAGCATAACGACATGTGAGCAACTCTTTGTATCTGAATGTGCAAAATCAAGTTGCAAATTTAAGTGAGTTGTTGGCAGTGAAGATATTGACCGGTGGACATTGAAGAAAGGGGAATCGCACCGCTTTGTATTATCAATTCATTGTAATATGTCACACGAATTATCGTTAGAAATTTTTCTGCATAGGTTTTTGTCAATACTAACACATTCTAGAGTCTAGACCATGGTATTTAATTTGGGTGTTTTACATCCGGGGTGGTTACTTTGTCTTGTCATTTAGTAAGATTTTCGTGATTTTGAAAATAATTTTAATCAATGGTCATAGATATTTACGCTGCGTTTTGGATACTGTAGTGCAACGCAGGTAGATTAGACATGCGGTTCCACTATCAACATTGCTATTACTAGAACGTAAATTTATCGAATAACGAACGACCTTATATACTCTTGATAAAAGTGTGGGTAACACAGTTTTACATTGCCGCAAAGAACGTAAAATGTCGCATTGTCTTAAAATGAAGAACGGTGTTTTCGAGGCAATAAACGCGGTGCTTAGAAAGAGCGAGGATACTTCGAATCTAAAAGAAGAGGTGAGAGGTTACGATTGGAATAAGGGTATCAATTATGGCCGCTTGTTGGAAACGTATGCAAACACCGGATTTCAAGCCACTAATTTTGGTCTGGCAGTCAACGAAATAAACAAAATGATTGAATGCCGCCAGCAGCCAACGCCGGCACAGAACGGCGTCAACGGTACGGATCACTGGTCCCCAAAAAACAACTGCACGATTTTCTTGGGATACACCTCCAATATAATTTCTTGTGGCCTACGCGAAACCATCAAATTTCTCGTCCAGCACAAGATGGTAGGTACCTCCTAATTATGGTCATCTAATATTTCACTCATTGCAGATCGATTGCATTGTGACCACCGCGGGCGGTGTGGAAGAAGATATTATAAAGTGTTTGGCACCTACTTACTTGGGTGACTTTCACCTAGACGGAAATGCACTCAGAGACAAAGCGATAAACCGAATCGGAAACCTACTAGCACCAAACGACAACTACTGTAAGTTTCAAGATTGGATCATGCCACTTTTGGATCAGCTACTACAAGAGCAACGAACCGATGGTGCTCTTTGGTCACCGAGCAAAATTGTAAAACGAATGGGCGAGAAGGTCAATGACGAAGAGAGCGTCTGCTATTGGGCGGCAAAAAATGACATTCCAGTATTTTGCCCAGCGCTCACCGACGGCAGCATTGGAGACATGATATTCTTCCATTCTTTGAACTCGCCGGGACTGATCGTCGATATTGCGTCGGGTAATTCGCAACGGTGAATACTGAATGATATCTGATCGATTTTAGATGTTCGGCGTTTGGATCTGATGGCAATTAAGGCTTACAATAGCGGCATGATAATTGTCGGCGGTGGTCTAGTAAAGCACCACATTTGCAATGCCAACTTAATGGTAGGTTAATTTGTTGCGGATCGCCATTAATTGTGCTTTTAGCGAAACGGAGCCGAGTACGTCGTTTACTTGAACACCGCTTCGGAATTTGATGGAAGCGACGCGGGTGCCCGGCCCGATGAAGCCAAATCCTGGGGTAAAATTAAGCAGTCGGCAACACCGGTTAAAATTTTTGCCGAGGCCACGCTCGTGTTCCCATTACTTGTCGGGGAGACATTCGCCAAACATTATTTCGCTAATAAGGCGAAGAATGGTTTTTAGTTCAATAATCTAGTCGCTAGTAATGAATACAAAATAAGTATAGGTATGTGGTTATTAAATTTACCCAAAATGGGCAAAGTCGTTATTAGAAAATTATGTCAGAGTTATGCAATCTATTTGTAATAGTTTGTGGTGGTATTATACTGTTAATGTTATGTGCATTAAACAATAAAGTAATAAGTAAACGCGCTTTTAAACGTATATTTGCGGAAACATAAAACCATCTAATTCTAATAACAAAGTAACTATAAAGCGTTTGAAGGGCCTCATCTGCACTTTTCTGCTTTTGGGTAATTTTTTAGGATGTCTATATTCACGATGAAAATGATCAAGAAGCAGCACCTTAAAACTGAAGACCTAGGTACAGTCTTATACATAATATGGGCGAACAGAACAAATGCGGAAATGTATATATTATATACCGCGGACTGAAGTAGTTACTTTTAACCCGAGGTAAAAGTTTATGGCCCGACCAAAGGGAGGCCATTTAATTACCTGGGATTAAGGACCACGTACTTTCAGTCCGCAAGTTATATAGTTATTTATGTATTAAGGGCATAATAGTGATGTTTATATTCTCGAGGGCGACGAGTTAAAAAGCTCGAGGGCCTACGGCCCGAGAGCTTTTTAGTCGCCCGAGAGTATAAACATCAGTTTATGCCCGTGGTACATACACAATTTTATGTTTTACAAATAGTTTTCTTCGTCAAAATTCGTTTACAAAATAATTCATTAAGTTTGATCGAGTATGCGTGGTTCGAATTTGTTAATGTGATTGAAACCATCCAAACGTCAAACGTAATTTTAAATAATTCAATTCATCGTGAATGGGGAGGAAGTTCCAGAAACTATACGAAATAAGGCCAATCTTGTGATTTAGTAGGTATTGACAATTAATAATTGACGTTTCTAATTTTCAATGACCTGCAAATATTTGTTAGTTTTGTCATTAAGTATGAATGAGTTACTATGGTGATACTTAATGCCCTAGGGCATAAAGTGGTACTTTATGCCCGCGTATCACAGATATAAAATGTGCTATGATAGGTTAGTAAGACATAAAATTTTGTATGTACCACGGGCATAAACTGATGT